TCAAGGGCAAGAACAATGAAAGTTAAAATCATTAGTCCCTGCACATTAAAGATGAGTGAGAAATGGGAATAACATTTCTGAAATGAAAATTAATATGTTCATAATACATCCAAGCGGAATTGCGCACGATCTTAAGACCCATTTACTACCCAAAGTGGACATCTTTGTAAACACTCCAGCTCCTTTCCTTCCCTCTAATACAGGTTCTTTGCCTTTTATAGTCAGGATTATACGACAGGACATTCTTCACTATGCAGAGCTTTTGGAGAACAGCAATCATGAGAAAGGAGCTCGCAAATTCGGTTTCTGCTTTCTCTGCCTGTACAGAGAACAGAGTCTGCAGAGAAGGGCTTTCCCAGAAGTACAGCATAGTCCCACTGAAACATTATCACACAACTAGCACTTGCTGGAAGGCCTAATGGGAAGGACAAAGGCTTGATCAAGGTCTTACCACTCAGAACCTCCATTTGCCTCTGTGTCTGCTGCTGGTGAGGAAAGACATCTGATTAATTCACACTGGGATCTGGGGGTGCCTTCTCGAAGTCTGTACCTTTTTAAAAAGATACCTGGAGAAATCTGCTGTCGTAGGAATGTGTAAAGAAGAGATTTCAGGCAACAAGGAGACTGGGTTGGGAGAGATTTGGGGACTGTGCAGAGAATTTTCAGGCTCTTGCTCAAATCCTTACCCTCCCCTCCAGATTTTCTTCACCATTTAGTGAGTCTGTTGAACGCCAAGTGCCCCATCGGCAGGTAGGTTCATGCTTGCCTGACTGGAAGCTTGATATCATTGTGGTGATATCGTTGGCTCCCCGGTTGGCAGTTTGTTCTTTGAGCATTTCCAAAAACTACGGTTTCCGACCCCACACAGACCTGAGATGCTAGTCACCAGCCCCATCCTCTGCCCTGTTGCATTTCATGTCTTTTGGCAGAATGTATGACATGGCATTGTTCAAACGGAGGGTGCTAAAAATGTCTCCAGAGGGAAAAACGTCTCTGTAGCCACAGAGTCCTAAAGCTGTCATCCAGAGAAGACACTTTGTCACAGATCGGAAGATGTCCAAGAGCACCTTGAAGGAAGGAAGGGTTGCCGGAGACAGGTGGTTGTGCACACGCCACCAAGGGTGCCTCAAGAGGGACTGGACGAGACTTCTCTTCTTCCTAGACCTCATGACAACTTTAAAGCCTGCCAGCTTAATTTCATATTGCAACTTCCTGCAATCAAATCTGCCTTTCTGGGGTTCCTGCTTCATGTCCTCTCACTAATAGCTTCCAACATCTACTTGTGCCAGTTGCTATCCCTACACTGTGTTAAAAAAAAAAAAGAAGAAGAAGAAGAAGTTGTGCTACTAGAAGAGAATGAAAAAACACAAATATATCCTCTCTCATATTGCTTCTTATTTCCTGGGGGAGTTGGATGCCAGAAGGAAGGGAGAAAGAACTAGCAAACTCCAGCGATGCCACGTTGGAATGACATTTCAGCAGTGTTCTGGAGAGTGTGCTCAAGCCCGGCTGCTTCTGGGACCCTGGGTTTCTTCTTTGGCAGCCAGTGTATGTTGAGCTCCTACCATGTGCCAGACTCCGTCTCAGACACTTCAAAATCCAGGCAGGATCAGCAGAGTGTCCACGAGAGCAGCCCCCCAGCTTCCCCACAATGGCAAAACCATTATTCATGCTCAGAACTCTACTTCCGGTGGCTCTTTCCCAGACAGCTAAAATCATGCTAGCATCAAGTGAACAATTATCTCCAGATGTTCTTTCAACAAATGCTGGTAGCTACTGTATTACCGTTTCTTCCACAACCTTCTATTTTGAAAAAAAAAAAAAAAAAGGTAAGTCAGGGAAAAGCATCAGGAGATAATAAGGTAAAAGTGTTCTCTTATTAAATGTCATTAAAAGACTCTTTGAGTTAAGAAGAGGGACTCTGTTACATTCAGGCGGTTCTAAAGACCTAGTTGGCAGGGAAGTGCCTCTATCTCTTATCATCTACTGATGCTAGAAGGGCTTGCAAGGACACTGTGTGCAAACGAGTGCCAAGAAGGTTTATTAAACAAGAAAGGGATTGGAAAGGACAGTGTCTCGCTGGTTGTCCATCTGGATTCCAGGAGTCATAGAAATTCAAGGGATGCCATCAGGCATCTAGAAAGAGCTGTGCAGGGTGGTCCAGGGGATGGACAGACTTCATAGCTCCTTTCTTCACCCCACCTTCCACCATGGGGGTTTCCCTCTCCCTGGTCTTCCAGATCAGTGCCCCCCCCCCAGGAAGTTCTATGTACAGAAAGGGCTCTATCACTGTGAAAGTCATTGAAAACCACTAACCTGCATCCCACTCCAGCATGCTAGAGAGCCTTACTCATGAAGCATTGTCTGTGGAATGAAAATAGTTTCACGGAGCAAATATTCTGACGAATGGCTAAGTCAGAGCTGGCTTGTGGTCAACACGGTCGTGTTGGTTTGTTCTGGTATCTGGCGCCCTTCTCAGCCCTGCAGAGGGAAAGCACTCCAGCAAGAGGAGAAGGGCATTTAGTCCTTGCCTGGGGTTTCTCGCTCTATCCCACCTAGCCTCCTGTGCCGGGGAAGCTGAACGCGCATAACATAGCCCTGAGATACTTTCAGACCCTTCAGTCCACCCTTCCATGCAGGTCTGCATAATGTAAGCAGAGGAGCTTAGCTTACTTAAAAATAGACATGCCTATGGTTGGGTAACACGTGACTTTTATTGTTGCCATAAACCAGGATTCAGCAAAGGGAGCCCCTGACCATTATTCTTCTTGTTCACTCTTTTTCTTAATCCATGAAACAGTAAAGGCTGGTTTCAAGGGAAAGTTGATAAGAATAGGCATGGCAATTCTTGGCAATTCTGATGGGTACTGCGAAATGTTTGCTTTATGATAATGTATAAAGCCATTTTGAAGCAGACTTTAAATCGCCACAGTTCCTGGGTATCTATCAGGATACAGCCATGCTTAGAATCTACAAGTGAGGCAGCCCCAATCTCCAGCAGAAACATGGGACTATGCAGAAGTTGGAAACAAAGCTGCGGGGGACTGAATGTTGAACAGAGGCCAGGGTCTCTGTAAATGGTATCGTCGATGTTCAAAACAACTCGAATGGGAAGCATTCTCATTTACAGATTGGATGAGGCTCGGTGGAGTTACAGTTCAAGCCAGTGAGCTTTCAAATCCAGATCTGCCGGACCTGTTCTCTTCCTGTTTCCCACGCTTCGATCCTGTTTGCAAACCTCCCACGATAGGGAAGACACTGCCTCCCGGGCCACACAGCCGAGTGCTGGACAGAGCTGACAAGTAACAAGTGTTTTGTGGTGGACTCTTTTGTCCTCCCTTTCCTCTTCATGCCTTTTACCCAGAGCCTTACCTCCCTTTTACTATATCATAAAAGATTGTTTCTTTTCAAATGATATAAAGGAAAATTAGTAGGATGATCAAACGTGCAGAGTAATCAGGTTAATGTGTATCAAACACACATGTTATATAACCAAAGATGTTGACCTTGGTTTGTTTTCTTAGTTCCCAGTTCTAAGACCTCTAAAAGGAATTTTTCTAGGAGAAAACATGTTCTGTGGTTAAGATGGATGAAACTCTAGTCTGTATTGACTTTGGTAAGATAGCCAGTTAAGAACAACTTTAATTACATGGTCCCAGGGGTAACGTTTGAATTAACTAGATTTTGGCTTCTCTCTCTTCTGGGATACGTTCTCAATTGATTTCTACTGATGACTTGTACAAGAATCAATAGATAAATATGCTACTAAGTAAGTAATAATTTTTCCTTGGTTTAGAGGACTTGATAATTTAAGAGAATAAAATATTTTTGTTGCTTATAACATCGACAGTGTGTGTTCTCAATTAAGAATGACTTTGCCCTGGGAGTATTTGACCATGACTGAAGACATCGTTGGTTGTCACAGCTGGGGAGATAGGGGGCTGTTAGCACCTAGTAGGTAGAGACAGGGCTTGCAAAATATCCTCCAGTGCTTCTTCCAGAGAAAGATCTGCCTCCATGTGTCAGTACTGCCATGGTTGAAAAACCTCAACTTACAATAATACCAAAAGAATACAAATACCAGGGGTTACTGATTGCACAATACAGATAATTATTTATAATAATAACATCAGTGTCCTCCATGATATCAAGAATCAATTGGAATGAAGTATAATGGGCCATAATTTAAAGACCACAACTTAAAGAGTATCCAATAGAAGCATCCTTCACCCTCCTTTCTGTGGAAGTTGCTGAACAATGGCCAATCATAGCATGTTTCTGGCATGCAACCTAGCTTAATCTCAGATTTCTTGAAGACAAGTGGACAAATAAATTTAAGGATAACATGGAGCATGTGGTGTTGGCTTTCATGTAACAATGACGGCAGAAGGATCAACTAAAACCTGAGGACACATGAAGAAGCTACCTACTACTACTGAGTTTGGGGCAGGTCATTTAAGCCTCATCTTTGATGTCTTCAACTTTAAGAGGAAAATAAAGGGGGTGTGCCTAGGTGGCTTAGTCAGTTAAGTGTTCAGCTCAGGTCATGATCCTGAGGTCCTGGAATCGAGCCCCATGTCTGGTTCCCTGCCAGTGGGGAGTCTGCTTCTCCCTCTGCCCCTCCCTCCACTCGTGCTTGCGCTTTTTCTCTCTCTCTCAAATAAATAAACAAAATCTTTAAAAAAAAGAAAATAAAGGAAAAACATCTAAAACATTAAGGTGATTATATCAAATAAAATATGCCAGCCCTCTGTTAAGTATAAAATGATATTCTACAGAAGGGTTTTTTTTTTAACTTATTTAAATTTTTTTTTTTTTAAATTAGCAAACCTGGGGGGAAAGCCACATTAGGACTGAGACAAAGGCAGGGACCCAAAAATCAGCTGGGTTTTCCTTGTCAGACTGGAGCGGAATTTCAACCAGACCACATGCATTCCACCTCTGCAGACACAGTTTACTCTTTCAATCCTGATTCCAAGTTCGCGGCTTGCAAACTGGCTTCACTTCCTCCAAGGACCCAGCTCTAGGGCTTTCATGGCACCCTCAAGTTTGAGCATCGCTCGTTCCTGTCGCTGGCGGTGCCATTCGGCCATGGACTGGAGCATCCACCTGGCCCTGAGCTCGTGCAAGAGCGAGCCATAAACCACGACCTCTCTGAGGTCCGAGGATTCCAGAACCTTTAGCTCGAGCATGACCTTGCTCACTTGCTCAATGTATGGGATTCGAGATCCTGTTGGGCCAAACAGAACCTCCAAGAGCTGCGTCTGGACCTGCAACACCTTGGGATCTTTCAAATCTTCGGGAGCTTTCACCCATGGTGGAATATCTTTTCGTTCTGGTAGCGTCCCCATCTGGAGCGCCTCAAAACTAACCACACTCCAACCTTGGCTAGGCCTGAGTGGCTGGGGCCACGGCGCCAGAGAGGGAGCATCGAGATGGGTCCCGCCCATAAGAAGCCCCGCCCACGAGAAGCCGCGCCCCCTGCCTGGCGGCCTAGTCTTCCACCTATAGAAGATTTTATTGGGAAAGCCATTGGAGGTAAAAACATCTACTAAAAACAGCCATAAGAAATTGCCCAACAATATTTAAATTCATAATAGCAAGCCCTAAAATTGCTGTGCTCCAGTTGATTCCATCCATGATTTAGTCATTCTTTTCTAATCAAACACAATTATGGGAATTAAATGCTTTTAATAATATCCTGAAATTAGATTATGGCATTGCACCTGGAGCTTTCCCGATTACCAAAGGAATAGCATTTCTTTAGGAAGCAGATATGGTTGAGTGAGTTCTGAAATGAGGCTTGAATGAACCAGAATAGATATGAGGAGAAGAAACATGTGTGAAGCCATCTTTCAATTAACTAAAACCAGATAGGAGGAAAGTGACATATAGATCAAAATCTGGATAGAGAACACTCTCCCCTTGTGGTTTTCTGACATTAGACAACTCTTCATGTTTCAAAAAGACATCAACATGACTTTACTAAAAAGAAGCCTCTATAGAATAATTAGATACAGAAAGACAGACAAACTTTTTTTCTTTTCTTCTTCTTTTTTTTTTTTTTTTTAGAGAAGGTTTGGAGGGGACAGAGTGACAGGTGGAGAGAGATTCTAAAGAATTTTATTTATTTATCTGACAAACAGCGATCACAAGTAGGCAGAGAGGCAGGTAGAGAGAGAGGGGGTAACAGGCTCCCTGCCGAGCAGAGAGCCTGAAGCGGTGCGCGATCCTAGGACCCTGGATCATGACCTGAGCAGAAGGCAGAGGCTTAACCCACTGAGCCACCCAGGCACCCCGGAGAGAGAATCTTAAGCAGGCTCCATGCCCTGCGGGGAGCTGCACACGGGGCTCAACCCCATGACCCTGAGATCATGACCGGAGCCTAAATCCAGAGTCAGATGCTTAACTGATTGCACCACCTGGGCATCCCAAGACAAACAATTAAAAAATTAATAAATAAAAGGCAAGCATGATGTTCCAAAGAAGATCTTTGCTTGAATAATTGGATTTTTCTGAGTTAATGTGGAAGCAAGATCAGCTAGAACTTCAACTTTTTGTAAAATTAAGAGAAAAAAAAATTTTCCCAGACATATAAATATGGAAACTGAGGCTCAGGAAGGTCACACTGACTGTGAATGGTGGAATGAGAATTCAGAGGTCCTCATGGCTCCAAAACCCTTGCTCTGGAAACGCCACATCTTGAGACTACATAAGACAGTCTCCCACCTTCATTTCTCCCATTCCTACCCTCCTGCTTACACAGGGCCGTCTCTTACAGTTCACCTTCTCTCCTCCCTCCCCTGGGTGCTGAATGAGGACCCAAGATCCTCAACACCTCTCTCTTGGCCCTTTCTTCCACCTTCTCTTTCCCCACTTCCTCCATCCTAACGTTGCCCAAAATCCATGAACCAGAAGGAGGGGCTCTTCCTGGGAGCCTAGGTTTTAGATCCAAATGGTTCATTCATAGCTAGCTGCCTGGTACTGGGTCAGCCTAGGGGTTCCCCCTCAACCAGTAATTTCTGCCTTTTCAGGCTTTACAGCAGGCTGAGTACCTGAGCCCTCCTCAGCTCTCCACCCATCCTGGGTCTCCCTCCCCCTGCTCTGCTGGCTTTTGGGAAGAGCTTTGAGCCCAGTGCCCTGGGGTTCTCCATCCACCTGAGTGGGTGCTAGGTGCATGCAAATTCCCCACTAGTTCAACAAAGCCCACACTAATACTCAGTGCAGCACTCATAATCCTAAAATCCCTTCATTAGCTTTTCTATTATGGTAAAATAGATATAAAATTTACCACTTTAACTGTCTTTAGGTGCTCAGTGGCAGAAAGGACATTCACACCATTGTGTAACCAGCCCCACCACCATTCATCTGCAGAACGCTTTCATCATCCATACTGAAGCCCTGTCCCTATTAAATAATTCCCTGTTCTCCCCTCCTCCCAGCCCCTCATAACCTCTGTTCTACTTTCTGTCTCTAGGAATTTCATCCTTTGGTGTAACTCTGACAGGTGGAAGAATACAATACTTTTTTATGTGACTTGTTAAACTTAGCATAATGCATTCAAAATGCATCCCTGTTGTCACATATATGAGAATTCTATCCCTTTCCGAGACTGAATAATGTTCTATTGCATGTATGTATCACAATTGGTTTATCCATTCATCTGTTGATGGACATTTGGATTGTTTTCGCTTTTTGGCTCTTGTAAACACTGCTGCTATGAACATGGATGTGCAACTATGTATTCAACTCGTTCAATTATTATGAATATATCCCTAGAAGTAGAATTGCTGGATTGGATGGCAATTCTATATTTAATTTTTGAAGTACCACCATATTGTCTTCCCTAGCAACTGTATCATTTCTCATTCCCACTAGCAAAGCACAAGTGTTCTAACTTCTCTACATCTTAGTCAACACTTATTTTCTGGGTTTTGTTTTGTTTTGTTTTTTAATCATAGTCATTCTAAGGGGTATGAAGTGGTATCTCATTGTGATTTTGTTTTGCATTTGAAATGCACCCACTTTGGTACCATGTAGATCCATGGTACAGAGCACCTATTTCTTTGCATCTTCATCAACACTTGGTATGAACAGGCTTATTAGTTGTCTTAAACTGATGTGTGGGATGGTATCTTGTTGCTGTTTCATTTTAAAATTTGCAAACTTATGTGAAAGGTTGAGAATATTCTAATCTATGTATAGGTCCCCTCCTCTGGAAATTATTCATTTTTTTAAAGATTTTATTTATTTATTTGACACAGAGAAAGAGAGATCACAAGTAGATAGAGAGGCAGGCAGAGAGAGAGGGGGAAGCAGACTCCCTGCTGAGCAGAGAGCCCGATGCGGGGCTTGATCCCAGGACCCTGAGATCCTGACTTAAGCCGAAGGCAGAGGCTTAACCCACTGAGCCACCCAGGCACCCTGGAAATTATTCATATTATTTTCCCTATCTTTCTGCTAGGTTTGTCTTTTTAAGTAGGAATTCTACGGATATTCTTGTTACTGATGTCTTGTCAATTATATGCATTGTGAAATCTGTCCTTTTCATGTTCTTTCTTGACTCTTGGCATGAGAATTTATCATTTTAATCAGACAATTTTATCAAACTTGTTATTTCTGGACTACACTTTTCCTATCACTAAAAAGAATCTGTCCCTACTCTACTACCATAACGATATTTGCCTATGCTTTTTTTTTTTTTTTTGAGAAGTTTTATGGTTTTGTTTTTGACAGTTGTATCTTTTACACAATGGAATTATTTTTTAGTGTGGTCAGAGATAATGACCTAATGTTATCTTCTTCAAAATGAAGATATCTCATTATCCTAGAATCACTAGCTGTTTGGTCCATTCTTTTCCATACTGATTTTAAGGCCAACTCTCATGTACCAAGCTCACATACATATGTGATTATGGTCTCAGGCTGCCAGAGGTCTTCCACTGGCCTTTGTATATATCCCCAGTCCAACGCTGCACTATTTTATTTACCAAACCTGTATGGTAAGCTTTGTTATGTAACAAAACAGGTTTTGTTCACTATTCCAAGTTTCTCCCTTCCCATGCATATGGCCACCTTCTTCAAATTTGTCTTAGCATTTCTTCACCCTTGTCAGATTGTGTGAAAAACTTCATTAGGACTTTCATTAGACAATCATTAAAATAATAAAGTGATGTGTCTTCTTTATGATATCAAATCTTCCTAACTATGAACTAGTATTTAGATCTCCTACATCTTACAGTAAAGTTTTTTGTTCAATTTGGGTTTTTTCCCTGCAAAGGTCTGTTATGAATATACAGTTTCAGATTTTTTAAAATTACATTTTCTACTTCATTGTCCCTGGGACATAAAAATGCTATGGATTTTTCATATCAATCTTCTGTCCAACAACAATATAGAACCACCTTATTTGTTCTAGTGCTTTTCTATAGATTCACTTAGAATTTATGTCAACAGAAATTTTGTCTGCAAATAATGGTAATTTTGCTTCTGTCTTTGTAACTCTTATATATCTTATTTCTTTTTCTTATTTTACTGCATGGAGCTAAAACCTTTTATGTGATTTTGAATAGAAGAAGTGCTTGAAGCAATACAGGTGTTGTTCCCGACTTCAAAGAGAATATGTGTAAGGTCCCACTCTTTCGGTATATTTATGCCTATATTAGACAGACTCTCCGTCAAGTAATAATGTTTTCTCCTATTCCTAGACTTCTACTTCTTTTAAATAAAAGAATGTTGAACTTTGAATTTGTTTGTCTCTTTCTTTTTTTAAAAAAGATTTTATTTATTTATTTGAAAGAGAAAGAGAGTATGAGTGGGGAGGGGGTAGGTAGAAGGAGAGGGACTCTCCAGTGATCAGGGAGCCCACTCAGGGCTCCATCCCAGGACCCTGGGATCAGGACCTGAGCCAAGGGCTGATGCTTAACTAACTGAGCCACCCAGATGCCCCTTTTCTTTATTTGAGATTTAAGAAGCAGTGCAGTAGTGTACTTGGAGAATAGACTCCGGAGTCAGTTACTGGAACATAATGAATGTTGGAGGACATGTTCTTTTGAAGGCACATTGTTCTCAAAGTTGTTGGTGTCAGCACTTTTTATACTCTTAAAAAAGATTAAAGGCCATGAAGAGCTTTTGTTTTTGTGGGTTATGTATCTTTCAATAATTATCATGTTAGAAATGAAAACTGAGAAATTAAAAAAAATATTTATTGATTCATTTTAAAACAGCAATAAGCCCAATCCATGTAAAGATACAATTTTTTAACGAAAAATACCATATCCTCCAAAACAAAACCACGTGGAGTGTGTATATCTACTATACTTACTAAGCTTATCCCAGGGTGTCTTCAAGT